AGATAAGCGGCCTCGCCTCTGACGCAGCTGTTTGGTGCGTCATGGGGAGGTGGAGGCGGCCGCGGAGAAGGGCGAGGAATGGGGAGAACAAGGCAGTGACGGGATCTTCAACCTTTGCGTACCTTTAGAGGGAGAGATAGGTCTGAGGGGTATCAAGAAGTGGGCGACTGATTTTGAATCAGGTGTTGAGTCAGGTGACATCATCTGAGGTTGACACCTGTCCCCTCTGACCTGCTGTACCAAGCGAGGTCATCAGCTATGCTCGCTTCTACCTACTGCGCCCTTTGTCCCTCCCTCACGGGCTCAGGCTTCGGACCTGCTGGAGCCCGCGGGCTGCAAGCTGGTGAAGACAGATGGGAAGAAAGGGGGGAAAGACAGGCCCAGGATTTGAAAGAAACACAGGCTAAGTCCCAGACTTGGTCCACACCCTGAAATCTCCTGAGACCCAGTGCTGGGCGGAGACGTAGAGCCCGGGCTCACTCAGCATCAGGCGGGACAGCAGTTCTATAAGTGCATCTTCTTTGGCACCTGGGAGTCAGTGCTAGCATGTTCTGTGTTAGTGTCTGCATTTCCACTTGAAGTTTTAAGACATTCCGAACATTTGCTTCTTAAAGTCAGAACCGGTGCCCTTTCAGCTCTTTTCTCTTATTTGTGTGGCAACCTGTATCGAGAAACAAGCAAAATGCAGGCAGATGATTGTGTTTGCTTAGCCTGGCGAAGGACAGTGAAGTCAGGAGAGGAAGAGCCTGGCCTGTTCTGGTGAGGACAGCTGGCCATGTCCTGGGAGCCCAGGGCACACTGACAGGCCCCGGGGCCTGGGGAACCCAGAGTCCTGTGACATGCAGGCAAGGCTGCTTTCCACCTTCCTGAAGATTTTTTTCCCTGAAACTACCAAGACCCCTGTGTTAGACTAAGAAGGGACAGAAGCCAGGTTCGTGTCTTCTCGAACCTTAGTCTCCAAATCTGGAACTCTAACATGAGCGCAGAGAACAATCAGAGAGAAGACAGCCAAAGCGAGAGGGAGTCGTCACAAGCAGGATGTGAGCAGTGGCGGGACGGCATGTGACGCGCAGGTCAGAAAGCGGCACCCCCCAGGTGTGTGGGTCCTGTCTGGGGCCTACACAGTGCCAAGTCCTTTTCTGTCACACACTAGGAGGTCCCCTGCCTCTTTCAAATGTAAGTTGTTTCAAAGGACTGCAGGCTTCCTCTCTGGTCAGGAGGCTGAGGAAAAGGCTCAATCCTTTGAGCTTCGAATTGTCTCTCCAACCTCAAAACAAACTTTGAGGTTTGACTACCCCATCCATCGGCCCTGGCTTCAGTTGCAGACATAACAAACAACTAGATTGAGAGCAGTCAGGCACAAACTCTGAGCAACTGCAGTCAATGCTGGTTTTTAAATAACATTCTCGAGCAGGAAGGACAGAGGATTAACCCTCACCCACCACTACTGCACGTAGCCATCTGGCTTGAGTGCAGTAACCAGAATACATTAAAACCTGATAGAAATCCTTGTGACTAGGCGTACACACAATGTAAGCTCCTCTTCGCACTTGTCTTCCTTTACTCGATCATATAATAGTTGAATCTTTATAGCCAATTATGAAATTCCTGTTATTGTCTTAAACTTCCTGTTGAGGAAATCACAGGGACCAAAATTGTCCAACTAGCAAATGGTGACACAGGCGTATGAACCAGGATCTGTCTGTTTCCAAAAACAAATATGTTTTTTTTTTCTTGGAACACTCAGGAGCCTTCAACAGTAAATATTTCATTAAAGCTTGTTTCTAAAGCTTGTCGAGCAATGCAAGCCGCTCTGGAAGCTTGTCAAAGCGATTACAATCTCCCTCTTCCTTTGGGCCCAGCCCAGGGAGGAACAGAATAAGCCCGCCACCTGAAGGCAGCCCCGCGGGCAGCAGGGACCTGGAGCCAGCCCAGGCATGGTGGATGACAGGTCCTGGGTGGCAGAGAAGTGCCACGCCCCCTCTGCCCTCTGCCTGCTTCCTGCCAGGCTTGGTGCAGGAAAGGTTTCCTCCCACACCCCAGAGGAGGGAAAGAATCTAGAATAAGTAAACACGAGGAGAACCTACGTTTGTCCTTGCAGAAATGAAAAAGAGAAGCAGGAGGCATTGTCCTCTTGGATATCCAGCTCCCCACGAAGCAAAAAATCTACAGCGTGGGTTTGCATTTGAGGTCCATTTAGGTAAACCTCGCCAAGATAACTTCTGTGTCTTTTTTGTGAATCAAGAAAAAGCCAGGCTTAGGGGTGGTGATGGCATATAAATTAAAGATACAGAGGTATCTCATTGAAATTCTAAAGATGTGCTGATCCTGCCCTAGGACTTCTGTCATCAAAAGAGTTCTCTTGAAGTGCTGCTGCTGACTTACTAATACAGATCATGCTTTTATTTGATGGTTTATCTAATCAGGATTCACCTCCAGTTTAAGCTCATTAAGTCTATTGTTAATAGAGGAAGACCGAAAGTGTGCTTGCTGTTGGAATCACATCCAAGTGCCACAGAGGTGTGTTCTGGCATTAATGGCAGGAACAAAGGCTCCCTGTGAGCCGGCGGCACCCTTGAGTAGAGCGTGTGAACCGCCTGCCAACCAAGCAGAAAAGACACCTGTTTAAAAGGTTAGTTTGGTAGAGTATGGACTGAACGTTATAATTAAATACACTCCGTAAATGGGAAATGAAGATGACAAGCACGCCCATGATGCCAGAACGCCGAGAGAATAACGCCATTCTCCGCAGGCATCGCGTCGGGGCGCGTCCCGAATGGGCTTTCCGTGGCACTTTGCACCAGCTGCCGGAGCTGTCTGCTGCTCGCGCCCAACCTGACCCCCACTGACTTGTATTTCACCTGTTTGCTTGCGGGTGTCACGAGCGGTTGCGACTCGTGCCAGCCTGGAAGCTTCCTTCCAGGTCCTGCCGTTGAACTCAGAAGCCTCCAGCCCTACAGCGCCACCCTGAAAGCGGGTGGCGAACGCCAGAGCTCGCGCCCATGAGGCTAGCGCGTCCCCTCCCTGGAAACGCCGCAGCCTGGACTTGGCACCGCAGTGGCCTAAATTATTTATCCAGTTGGATAAGAGAAAGCAACCAAAAGCTTCCTGAGTTTACAGCCTCCGTCCCTGGATTCACACTGAGACAGGAAACAGGCCAAGCTCCATCAGCAAAAAAGAGAAAAGGAAAAAAAAAAAACCCTTTCTTCTTCCTCCCAGACTCTTCCATCACCTCTTGTTTCTGGCCAAAGTCCCAACCGTGGAGAAAGTAAGCTGCGTCCATCCATCTTTTTGGAATCACGGGGTGCTGTGTGTCGGGCACAGTTAATATAAGACACGTAAAATGTGGTGTTGGCCTTCATTGAGCTTACCGGACGCCCACATAGAGAAAGCAGAGGAGAAATGAGACTCCTTCCTTGCAGACACACCAGCACTGGGCTAGATGCTGGGACTCAGTACTGAGTGTCTAGGGAGAGATTGGGAAGCAGGTGATGTCGAAAGCACCCTCTGCAAGCCCTGAGGGATGAGGGGTGTTAAATAACGGAGAGCAGAAGGCGTGAGTGGTCTGTGGTGGATTTAGCCAGAACTGAGACATACGGTAAATCCTGTGAGATCAGAGCAGGTGTTAGTTTTGGTTTCAACACCACTGCAGGCAACAGAACCAAACCAGCCCCCCGACACATGCAGTGACTCTCACCCCGTGCCCCCAGGACAGCACTGCAGTCTTTCTGATGGATGGAGCAAGCCAGGGTTCTAAGGTTGGAGCTGCGTGGGATGAGTTCACCAATAAGAGGGTCTCTGTGCGTAGAAGAGCTTCTCTTCGTGTTCCGAGGAACTCACCTCTGTGTCCAGGGCTGGCCATCAGGTCAAGAAATATGGCCTGACTTTTAAAAGATCACCTTCAGACTTGTTTCTCTTATTACAATGGGTTGGAAATTCTTACACAATTAGAATTTCCTACTGAGGGTTGTACTTACAGTCATAATTATATATAGGATATTTCTTGTTATAGTCTCCAGACTTCTAAATCTAATTTGTATCTTTTTTAAGATACCTATTATGATGCCTTCTATTCATTGCCTACATGGCCCTTTCCAACCCATTAATTTCTTCACAGCAAGAAACTTGCCTTATTCATCTTTCCAAACCCCTTATCACTTAGCACACTGCCTTGGACATAATAGGCATTCATTGAATAGCCCTTGAACGAACTGTATTGTCCCAAAATGGAAGATGCCCTGGGCAGTTGCATTTAAGGCCTTCCTTTGATCCCAAATCTGACATTCACCAGAGAATGGCCTTTCCCTAATTGGAAAATTTTGTGCAATTTAAAAAGGCTTGCAAGAAAAAGGGACAGAGAGGGGGCGTCCCCTAGCTAGCCAGATGAACAGAAAGCAGATGTCAGTGTGGAGTTACCCTCACTTTCAAACCCAAACTTTTCATTGTGAAGGGAAAGCTTGTTGTAAGAACCAAGGTCGGATATTGTAGGGTCTGAAGCCTGTAGCAGCATCAGTCTCATGCAGAAGCATAAACAGGACGTTAGGAATAAAAGTAACATTCAGGCCCTCCCTGGTGGCGCAGCTGGTTAAAGCACAGCACTGAGAAGCTAAAGCCACTTCAGCATGAGTTCGATCCCCAGCCCCTGAGGTGAACCACATGGCACGGCAGACCTCTCCTGACCCGCCTGCTGCTCCCCTCAGCAGTCACTTCGTAGATCTCTGCCTGTTCTGCTCCTCACTTTGTCTCTGGTGAATCCTCTCACCCCCCGCACCTCTGGTCTATACCCCAGTTCTGTGCATAAATAAAATAAATCTTTAAAAAAAAAAGTGAAATTCAGCTTTACTATGGGGTACACCAGGGACATCACTGTTGCTGAGTCGGGATCTTAGCAGTAACTCCTGACAAGAAAGAGTGAAACCAAAGGCCATAGCTTGTGACAGGGCCTGGCGGGGAGGGGCTGCAGCTCTCGGCCATCTCACTCTGTGCATCGTTCTCCGTAGGTGGAATTGGCTGCGTAGGCCGAGACAAGGGCCAGGTGCGAAAGTGCCTCGATGTGGTGGAGATCTACAGCCCCGACGGGGACTTCTGGAGAGAAGGCCCCCCTATGCCAAGTCCCCTGCTCTCACTGCGAACCAATTCTACCAACGCAGGCGTGGTGGATGGGAAGCTCTACGTCTGCGGGGGATTCCACGGCGCAGGTAATGGTGCAGTTTCTCAGTGTCTGGTGACCTCCTGTGGTGTTGGTGTTTACCTGTCCTGACTGACCCAGTCGCAGGTGAGTAGAGCAGTCCCCAGAGCAGTGTGAGAACTGGCAGAAGCGTGGCTTTTCGAGGTCAGTGACCTGGAGAGACTCACCACGCCGCCAAAGTTGGGTTTTCTAGTCTACAAAATGAAGCTACTACCTCCTCATGCTACTGTAAGAGCGCTGTATCCCGTGAGACCTTGCTGAGAAGGTGTTTGGCACACAGCAGACCTCAGTCAGCACCGCTGAATGTGATGAGTCCCGGCTGCAGGACTAATGGGCAGATTTTAAAATGTGAAAAAAAGAATCATGACCAGAGCACTGGGTTTTGTCTCATTGCTCCTTTACTCCCGAGAGATCTGCCCTCAGAAGACACCTCATTCCTTCTCCACTGCTACTGCTTGAAATAAATTGCTTGAAATCACATTGGAAACAATACCTACTGCATCTATTACCACACCCCATTTCCATATATCTAGCTGTGCCTGCACTGCATTCCCCAGTATGGATTCATAATTTTTTAATGTTACCAGGCAGATTTTTAAATATGCACAAATCTAATAAGCAACTGTCTCCAAACGTGATTAGTTGCAATAGTAAATAAGGAAGGATGCAGTTATATTAAAAATGACTAAGTATTTAATTCTAATCTCACTAATAGAAGTACTAGGCCAGTTGGTAACCATGAAAACATGCCTCCAGAGCACTTACAAGTTTGGAAACGTGCCAAAATTAATTATTAAGAATAAAGATTAAAGTTGATGCTGCAGCAAAGCAGAGCCTATTATAAGTCTGCCTTCATTTTTGAAGGCTACCGTCATATGTAACTTAAAAACTGAAGTTCGCACTAGGAAATAAAGTGATGTATGAGTAGATTTGACTCTTGCTTCAAACAAATCTGCAAGAAGATAGTTTTCAGGTTATCTGGGAAATCTGGACTGGAGTGCTAGGTGATATTAAGGGATTGTTCATTTTGTTAGGTTATGATAACAATGGCATTGCAATTTTATCTAAAAAAGAAAAGAAAAGCCATCCTAGTAAATAGGGGTTGCTTAGAAGTTCCATGGGTGAAATGACAGACATGTTTTAAATGTGCTTTAAGCTACTCCAGCAGATTTTTTTTAAGTAAATAGGGTCAGGATGGATCTAAAGAATAGATTTAAAACTGGTAAAATGTTCATAATTATTAAAGCTGGATAATGCATGGGGCTTTCTCTTAGTACTTTGGTGAGTGCTTGAAAATTCCCATGTATCTAGTTGTACCATCATTACATTCTACAGTATGGATTCATAAAGTTTTTTCTCTGTTTGTTCTTCAGAGGTCTTTCCAAAGTAGTTTTTTCATAATAGTATTGATACCTTTTTGGTTAGCTGACACAGGCTTCTGTAAAGGGGGTGACTTATCACAGCAGCAAGAAACCTGGCACAGCAACCCCTAGTGCCCCATGGTGAGGGTCCATGGTCAGGACAGTATGCAGAGTCCCTAGGGAGAGAGAGCCAGTGCTGGGCCCACTCCCGCGCCAGGCAGTCCTCAAGGTCCAGTCATGTGTCCTCCTTTTTATCCTCTAGCTTTTGGTTTCCTCTTAACCAGAAAAGAAGGGCAAAGATGGACCCTCCCTGGTGGCGCAACGGGTTAGGACACAGCACTGCAAGCTGGCCACAGCCACTTCAGTGTGAATTTAATCCCCGGCTCCGGGGTGACCCCACATGGAGCAGCAGACCTCTCCCGTCTCCCCTCAGCAGTGTACTTTGTCCATCTGCCTGTTCTGCTCCCCAGTCTACCTCTGATGAATCCTCTCACCACCCCTGCATCTCTGGCTTGTACCCCAGTTCTGTATGCATAAATAAATAAATCTTTAAAAGAAAAAGAAGAGCAAAGAAAACAAGGGGTGGCCTAAGGCCCTCCAGAGGGGTGGCTGGTAACCAGAGTCTAAGGATTAGAAGTATTTTATGTACTCTTTATCTTACCTTTCTTTGTGCAGGTTGAGTTAGAGAATTGATAGCCTCCAGTTTTCTAAACTTGTCTAAACACATACCACAAGCCAACCTCTTTTCCTGTTGCTATCCAGTACTGATGATACTTTCAACCAAGGGCAAGGGACTTGGATATGAGCTCTCGAGGTTCGTTTTAATTATTTGGTTCTAGGATGGTACATTGTCTGGGATCAAGTGAATGTATCATCACTTGCGCTTTATGAAAATTTCAGCACCTGAACTACAATCAGACACAGAATTTTCTCTTTTGAGTGGCTCAAACCTACTCACCCCATTTATTTATTCAGAAAATCACAGGCAGGTAAGCTAGTAAATTCATTGAAAATGTATTGAAACACAGTTTACAGGCATCTGGAATATAATCTTAAGATGCTCACATCTGACAGGAAAGACATACATGAACATGTAATAAGCCCAGGAGTTTGGTTTTGGTGAAAATAGAACTCAGTTTTCCCTCCAACCTCCACTAAGATGAATGTTAATGGAATAAACAGACATTTGTGCAAGAGAAAAAGCACCCCAAGAGATGGGAGAAAAGATTGTGTCAACAAAGCAGGAGAGGATATTTAAGAGACTTCTTGGAAATTAAAAATATAACAGAAATTAGATATAAAATAGAAAATGTGGAAGGCAGAGTGAGAAACTTCTCTGAAAGCAAAGGGCAATTAGTTGACAAATGAGAGAAACAGATATTAAGTCCATGCATTCCCACGTTTGAATATTGAAAAGTTCTAGCATAAAAGAGCCACACGAACCGGAAAGGGAATAAATCATCTGTGAAGGAAATGAAGTCGCTTACCCGGAACTGACGTCACCAGATTGAAGGGCTGCACCAGGTGCGGCACAAGCGCAAGGTAAACTCTGGCGAAACTGAGGTGCATCACTGTGACGTCACACGCTGGCCAAGTTGGAGAGCGCAAGAATGTAGACAGAAGCAGGAGGGCATCAGACTTCTGAACCATGACGCTGGAAGCTAGAAGAAAGTTAAGCAGAAGCCTTCAAACATTCTGTGGGAAACTTATCCTGTAAGGGCACTTCTGCAGATGCACACTACCTCAAAAAATGGTGCCCCTGCCTGCCCTTTCACCAAAAATGAACATCTGGCGGGGGTGGGGGTGGGGGAATTTCCAGAAGGACTCTGAAAAGCTGTCCGAGGGTGGCCGTTGGCACCAGCCTCGAAGCCACCGTGCAGGACCTGGCCGCTCCAAAGGCGGGAGAGATGGCTCTGGGGTGGGAACTAATCAAATACTGATGTTTTGAAATTGTTAGATATTTGAAGAAGAGAAAACAAAACTAACAAAGATAAAACCATTGACTTCAGAGAAAACAAGAGGTCGTGCAGGAAAGAGTATGCAGCATAGCTAACCTGTGAGTAGTAGGCATACCAAAATAATGTCAGGAAATGCGAACAACTAAATATGGAGCGAATCAAAATTTTGTCTTCACTATACTGGAAAATGGGAAAATGGCAAGCAGGCGGATACAGTAGGAATGAGAAAGCTAAAATCACACTTCCCGCAGTGGAAGTCACCAGTTAACACTGCCATCTGAGAAACCAAAAAGTAGCAGTAGTATAGGAACGTTATTTATAGATGACAGTGCGCAATGCCAGAAGAGTCAGCCAGAGTTGAAGGAAGAACCGTAAGCAGAGCGCAGGGCAGGAAACGACTATTTTTAAGGAATAAGCTCAAATCATATGCATGTATAACTGATAAACATAAACTAAATATAAAATACATAAATATAACACATGACAGAGGAATAACAAGGGGAACATTCAGGAAAACATTAACTAGTACGTCTGTTGAAGATAATTCTCTGGAGATCATTTGCATTTCTGCATGTTTCACCAGCAAAGACACTGTTTCTGTTCTGGATTATCTCATCTCTGTTCTGGATTATCCAATAAGACATGTATTTAGATATATTAAGAACTCTCACAGCTCATTAATACAGGGAAAATAACCCATTTTTTTAGAACCTCAATAGACATTTCCCACTGATAGAAACAAATGACCAGGTGCTGAGTATCATTATCCATCAGGAAATACAAATCAAAGCTACAATGAAAGGACACTTGATTCACACTAGGATGTATCTATATTTAAAATATAGGTAATAACAAGGGTTGACAAGGATTGGAGAAATCAGAACCCACATACATATTGGTGAGAATGTCAGAAAGTACAGCTTCATTGGCGAACGATCTAACGTTTCCTCAAAAGGTTAAACAATTGTAATATGACCCAACATTCCTACTTCCAGGTACATATGTCAACATAAATAAAAATGTATATCCACACAAAAACTTGTGCATGAATGTTTGCAGTAGCAGTATCTGTAACAGCCAAGAAGTAGAAACAACACAAGTGTCCAGCCAGTATTGAATGAGATCGATCCATAAAATGGAAAGCTATTTAGCAATAAAAAGGAGTGAAGTACTAATATATGTTACAAAATAAATAACCCTTGAAAACATTATGCTGAGTGAGGGGAGGCAGTCATCATAAGTGTCTATATGATTCTACTTTCATGAAACATCTAGAAGAGGCAGATTCATAGGCAGAATGTAGCTTTATGCTTGTAGAGGAAGGATGAATGGGAAGTGACTCTGATGCACATAGGGATTCTTTTTTAAAAAAATTATTTATGCATACAGAACTGGGGTACAGGTCAGAGGTGCAGGGGCAGGGAGAGGATTCACCAGAGACAGAGTGGGAAGCAGAACAGGAAGATCAACGAAGTACACTGAGAGAGCAGCGGGTGAGACAGGAGAGGTCTGCTGCGCCATGTGGATCATCTCGGGGCTGGGGGTGAACTAGCACTGAAGCAGCTGTGGCCAGCTTGCAGCTCTGTGTCCTAACCCATTGCACCACCAGGGAGGGACTGTGCACATAGGGATTCTTTTAGAAAAAAATGTGTTGGAAATAGATGGCAGGGATGGTTGTAGAATTCTGTGAG